TGGGGGACCGGCTGTGGGGCGGGAGGGAAGTTCGGGGTCCGTGGGGCCCATCCAGGCTCTGGGTGCGGGGCTGGGGGCCGCTGGGACTGGGGCGCTGTGCCGGGAGCTCCAGGGCTCCCAGCGCCGCTCGGCTCTGCCCGGCTCCCGGCTCCCTGCGCCCGCCCCGCGGCTCCGTCCTCCCGGCTCACCCCGGCGGGGGCTGAACTTCCCGGGTCAGCGGCGTGCGCAGCGCAGCGTCCCGCCCCGGTACCCGGCCTCCGCCGCGCCGGCTGGGGCTGCCGGACCGGGCCCAGGTAGGCGGTGGCGGCGGGGCGGGGCAGGTCTCCCCCGGCAGCCAGGCTGGAGGCTCACCGGGGGGCGCGGCTAGCGCAGGACGCCTGGGTTCTGCTCCCCAGCTCGGCGACTCGCGGGTCCCCGCTCTCTCCGTGCCTCAGTTTCCCCCTCTGCGCAAGCGGGCTAAGGCGCTCCGCCGCCCTCTGTAAAGCAAAGCGCTAGGTAAGATGAGAGCTCCGCCTTCTTGTTTGCGATCGCAGTCGTGGCTCGGAGACCGGTCCCCGGCACAGGCCAAGACCCCATTGTGCTGGGTGCTGTACATTGTTTACTAGGGGTATTACGGTAACACTAGCCACCCCAGTGATGGCCCAGGACCCCAGAGTGCTAGGCGCTGTAGAGACACAACACATAGTGAGGGGGCAGGGCTGAGCTGGGGTGAGTGGGGCAGAGCTGCAGGGATGTGGGGCTGGGGTTAGAGGGGCAGGGCTGAGCTGCAGGGATGTGGGGCTGGGGTTAGAGGGGCAGGGCTGAGCTGGAGGTTGTGGGGCTGGACTGAAGGGGGCAGGGCTGAGCCGGAGGATGTGGGGCTGGACTGAGGGGGATAGGGCTGTGCTGGGAAGCATGGGGCTGGATACTGGGTTGCCCCGAGCTCAGACCCTTCTCGTTCCAGGGCGCTGGGACATTAGAGGCGGGTCCAATGTATTTTGCTGAGATCCAGTGGGCTCTGCTGGACCCCGCTCCGAGGCCCGTCTACAGGGACATGGTTCCGGAGAACTACGGGACGCTCCTCTCTCGGGGTAAGGATCCCCCTTGACATTCAGGGCTGGGCAGGCTCTGATGTGCCCGGATTGGCTCTAACTCTGGGTTCTCCCCCTTAGATTTGGGGTGTCAGTTCCCCCATCCCCTGAATCCAAGCGAGAGGGAAGGAGACAATCGCCTCCACACCTGCGATGAGAAAGAAGGGTCAGAAATGCCGCGGCTAGAGCTGAGCTAATAACTGATGTTTTTGGTTACGAGGCAGATCTGGAAAACAGGGGGGGAAAGCCCTTAGGGGTCGTCCTGCAACAAAAATTTTGGGTCAGACAAAACGTTGTGTTTGATGTAAACCGAGACGTTTCCTTTAGATTTCAGGCATTTTTTACTGTTTTTAAAATTACTATTTAATAAAAGCAAAGGAAATTTGGAAATGAAAAGTCGTTTTGATCCAAACGATCCAAACGTTTGGATTTGTTCCCCCTTTTTTCTTGAGCGACTGAAACAATTTGCCAAACTCGACTCCAATTCACACGGCGTTCAGGCGACCTGGGCCTGGGTTTTTTGCTGAAAAAAGGGGGTTGTCTGAAGAATTTTGCTGTGGCGTTGCTCATAATATCTGTCTGTCGTATTGCGCTTTCTCTCAGGAGAGCCGTATCCTTATCCCCGTGCTATAGATGGGGACACTGAGGTACGGAGAGATGAAGTGATTTACCAAGCTCACCCCTCAGGCCGGTGGCAAAGCTGGGTCCTGAACCCCGGTCCACTGCTTTAGCCACTAGCCCATACTGCTTCCCACCCCGTCTCTTCTCCTCCACGCAGACTTACACACTTGTCCGCTATCCAATCTCTTCAGCTTTGCCAGAACTAAATTATAGCATTGTTACCCTAGCACTCAGAGACTCCGCAGCACCCCATGGTGCCAGGACCAGGCCAGGGCTGAACGGACCCTCAAGAGGTCGTCAACATATTGAGAGACGCTCTCTGCCTCCAAGAGCTCACAGCCTAAGTAGCCAAGACTCATGGGGCAGGAGAAAGAAAATGCTAGGCAGCATGGCCTAGTGGATAGAGCCCTGGGTTGGAACTTAGCAGACCTATTGCGCTCTCTCCGGCTGGGTGACCTCGGTCAAATCATGTCAGTTCTGCCACATTCTTTCAGCTTCCCCGAAAAATTAAATTAAATTAAATTCCCCCCAAAATCAGAGTATTGGACGAAGCATTTCAATTTTTCAGTGTGAAATGACTGTGGTTTCAAAATTTCCTTTATTTTTATATATAATAACCTACCTTCCCCCCCCCCCCCCCCGAGAAAATGGTTTAAAAGGGTCAAAATAAAAACAACACGTTCTGATTTTCTCAAAATGAAACATTCCCTTCCACCCAAATCAATATATAGATGTGTATATATTTGACTTTTTGAATACCTGAAAATTTTGAAAAAAATTATTTTCGGTTGTACCTGAAATTTTTTTTTTTTTTATTTTTCTGAATTGCCAGTGAATCGAAAAAGCCATTATTTGCCCAGCTCTACTCGTGAATTCTCTCAATTGTACTGCATATAGGAGAGGATTACAATTATCATTGTTATTTACTGGGTGTATTACGGTAACACTGGGAGCCCTGGTCATGGTTCAGGACCCCATTGTGCTAGGCGCCATAAATTATGTATTAGGTGTATTACGGTAGCGCCTAGGAGCTCCGGTAATGCCCCAGGACCCCATTGTGCTAGGCGCTGTACAAACCCAGAACAGAAAGACGGTCCCTAGGGGCATAGAATCAGGAGTGGCGGATGCGCCACTCATGGCTTTCCACCCATCCCACCCCACATTGGGCTGTAGCTCCCTCTCCTCATCACTGCCTGTCCATGTACGAGATGGAAGAACAACTGAGGACGGGTTATTAAGGCAGCTGGGTTTATTTTTCGGCATTCTAATGAGTTCATTTCCACGCCCCTCAGTTGTTCTTCTTTCCTCCCCAGCTCTGGCAGCAAATTGGGTGGGATGGGGGGAAGCTGGTGCTACCCTTCCAAGCCCCACATGTAAAATAAACTCTGCCCACACTTCTCAGAACCATTGTTCAGAGAATTCACACTTCACAGAGCAACAGGCTCAGGCTCTCAGCAGACTCAGGCAGCGTCGGTTATGCCCTCAATTTGCATTTTCCTGGTTTTCTTCGCAACCATAGCAGCTAGAGACTTTTTTTTTAATTATAGTTAAGATTCTGGGGAACAAGGAAGCAGAAGGGAGAGGTGCTGATGAGATGACAGCCCAGAAAATCATGTTCGGATTCTTTCTTTATCTTCGCAGATAGTGGAATTATTAACGCAGCCTTGCAGCAGGGAGGCCCAGAGACAGCACAGTCCCACGGGACGTTACCAGGGATGAGATCCGAAGGGAACGTTTACCAGGCCCCAGGCCACGCAGCCACCTGCCAGAGCCAAGCCAGGCCAGCGGGAAAGCCATGGAGCAAAACAGCTGCCGACAGTGAGGGCCTGAAGAAACTCAAAGAGGGCAGCGCTGCCCTGCAACGGGTCCAGGCTCTGCATCTCCCCCAGCCTGGGGGGAGCCAGACCGTGTGCACCCAGTGTGGGAGCAGTTTCGGCCAAAGTGTGCGCCCTGCCCAGCTGCCGCTGCAGCCGCCCCAGCCGCGGGTCCCGGCAGCAGAGAGATTCTACCAGTGCCCTGACTGCGGGAAGAGCTTCTCGGTCAGCTCGCACCTGACCATCCACCGGCGGATCCACACGGGGGAGAAGCCGTATCGGTGCGGCGAGTGTGGGAAGAGCTTCAGCCAAAGCTCCACCCTGGTGCTGCACCGGCGCACCCACACCGGGGAGAAGCCCTACAAGTGCACCGAGTGTGGGCGGAGCTTCGCCGTCAGCTCCCACCTGGCCAAGCACCAGCGCACCCACACGGGGGAGAAGCCCTACCAGTGCCACCACTGCGGGAAGCGGTTCAGCCAGAGCTCCACCCTCAACCTCCACCAGCGGACCCACACCGGGGAGCGGCCATACCGCTGCGCCGAGTGCGGCCGAGGCTTCTCCGTCAGCTCCCACCTGACCATCCACCGGCGGATCCACACGGGGGAAAAGCCCTACCGGTGCGGCGAATGCGGCAAGAGCTTCCGCCAGCGATCAGGGCTCATCACCCACCAGAGAAGCCACGCAGCGCAGAGACCCTACAAATAAAGGGGGGTGCTGGTCCCTTTAAGAGGAGGAAGGGCCAGCATCAGCTGTGCCAGCCTGGTTGTCCGTCAAACGCTCTGGGGGCTCTGGTGAGGCCATGCCCGTTGCCTTTTAAAGGGGCCACTCACCCGGTGACAGACCCAGTCACATGCGGCATAGAGACCATACAAATAAAGGGCGTGCTGGCCCCTTTAAGAGGAGGCGGGGCCAGCATCAGCTGCCCCGACCTGCTTGTCCGTCAAACGCTCTGGGGGCTCCAATGAAGACATGCCCACCCTGTCACAGACCCAGTGTTGCCAAATATCACACGGTGGGCTCTCTTTAGAGCAGTCTGGCCTCAAGGAGCGGGCACTGGCCTGGACTGGCACTCAGGAGACTGGGTTCTATTCCTAGCTCTCCCCTGCTGCAAGTCACTTTCCCTTTCTGTGCCTCTTTTTCCCCATCTGCAAAGTGGAGGTAATACTAAAGTGCTTTGAGATCTGTTGATGAAAAGTGCTAGGTATCATTATTAATGATTTGTTTTTCGGCTGGAAAATTGGGGTTTTGATCCAATAAAATGTGTCTGGTTCCTCCAGAAAGTTTCCATTTTTTTGTCGGAAAAACATCAGCCAAAAACTGAAATTTTTCTATTCTGAAGTACTGCTGAACTGCCTCATGGGAGTTGTAGTGCAATTGCTTCATGCCCTCATTCTCCACTCTAGGCTGAGCTTCTTGGTTGGACTGCATCTCCCATGATGCACCATGATCTCCCCTAAAAACATAACGAGGAGTTCGGTGGCACCTTAAAGACTAACAGATTTATTTGGGCATAAGCTTTTGTGGGTAAAAAACCCACTTCTCCCTGATCTCCCCTGTTCCTGAGTCACTTCAGTGAATCATGGGAGTTGCGCTTTGGTTGCCTCATGCTGTAGGCCAGGCTAACCATCAAGACTACATCTCCCGTGATGCAATGTGGGCATGTGACTGCCATGCGGCATCATGATAGGTCATTTACAGGGTGACCTGAATGCATCATGGGAGATGTAGTCGAACCAAGGAGGCTGCCATATAGAGAAGAATGGAAAATGAGGCTCCTGAACTGCGATTCCTATAAGGCACTGCAGTGGTTTAGAAAGAGGGGAGACTGTTATGCATCATGGGAGATGTAGTCTGACTGAGGAGAATATGAGTGTGAGGTACCATCGTGGCATTTCAGAATTTAAATATTTTGTGATTTGGCCAAAAATATGTCAAGTTTTGGGGGAAATGTTTCCGTTTTCAGGCAAGAGAGTTTGTATTTTAGGTTTTTTGTTTTTTTGCCAAAAGCTTGACATTTCCTGTGGAAAATTTCAGGAAAAACTCTCCCCTTCCCCTCCCATTTTTGTCTAAATTTTCTATGGCAAAAAAACCCTCATTTTCCCCACCAGCTCTGCATATAAATGTCCTGCCTGAGGCTGACCAGAAACACCACCTCTCCTTTCTACCAGTGTTCTTTCAAGTCGTGAAATGCTAAAATGACAATTTAGGGTTGTACTTTGCCAATTCCCGAGCAGATCAATGGCCTATTGAAGCAGGAAATGCTAGTTATGGCTTTCTGGATAACCTTAACTCTGCCCTTTTGTGTGTAAGAATCACAAGAGTCTCCAACTACACTGCCATTATTATCTGTGAACCACATCATGTTCCTCTGCTCTTTCAACCTAGCGCCTTAGTATAGTATTTTCTAGTTCTTTTCTTAAAAAACAAAACAAAACAAAACAAAAAACGCAAAAAGAAAAACGAGACAAATAGCCTTTCATGTGGAACTATTTTCATAACCATATTTTAATGGACAATCTGCCTTATGGATGATTTCCTCCCATCGACGATCATGTCATATCCCTGCAACAGTGAAAGGGCTCCCTGTTTGACAAAGGGTCATTAGGCTGGGATTTGATTGCATCTTTTTTCACTTCTTTTCATGCAGATGGAACAACAGAGGGAAAAGTTTTGTGTTGGAGAGGCTTGAAGGTGTTAAGACTGGAGCTGGGCAAAATTATTCTGCTGGATTATTATTGGTGACAAATATAGATTCGCTGGCACCAAAACATTTGGTGACTTTGTGCTGGTTTCCAAAAAACATATATTTTCTTTTGACACTTGCAAAGTGAAACATTTTGATTTGTTTGTTTTTATTTCAAAGTGACTTTTTGTCTCATAATTTCCTTCCGTTTTAGTTTTATAAAATGCTTAGAGTTGAAATAAAATGTTTAATTTCGGGTCAGATAAAATGTTGATCTGAAACGACTTTTGCTTTGACTTTGCAATCCAAATTTCAAAAAATTTCCTTTTAGCGTCACCCTGCAATTCATTATGTTTATTTTTTTTTTCCAGCATTATCAGCGAACCAAAAAAATCCATTCTGTGCCCAGCTCCAATTCAAATGTTTTTAAGAACCTTGGCTTTGCAACATTAAGCCCTTTTATCATATTCCAGAGGCTGTGTTGAGTGTCTCTGGCCTGCTTGTGCCATAGCGACCCTATGATAAAGATGGTTTCAAACCTTTATTATGCACAGAAAAAATAACTGCAGAAACATTAAACCACTTGACATTCAAAAGCAAAATGGCTCTTTGCCATTATTTCTATTCCTGTAAGCTCTTTGGAGTCGGCTTTTGGTTCTGTGTTTGTACAGCGCCTGGTGCAGTGGAGTTTATGCCTGGACCTCCTAGTGCTACTGTACTACACCTAATAAATAACGTACAGTGTCTAGCGTATTGGAGTCCTGGGCTATGGCTGGTACAACCACAGGAAAAAAAAGTGACACTTGGGAGGATAAGACAAGAGACACTCCATAGAGACAGACAGATGGCGGAGAACAAGGAGACAACATTGGGTAGCATGACAGGCAGTGTTCATAACACACCAGCCGCCCAACCATTGTCAAATTTTCTGTGGGCAGCACAGCAAAGGAGAGCATTAAGCAGGGGGTTCCCCAAGGGAAACAATCATGATCCTTTCAATCTCTCGGCATACAAGTTTCCCCAGGTCTTTGATCAATCTGTCACACTGATCTCAAGGCGTCAGGAAAAGCACATGCATAAACGTAATGTTTTTCCACAAGTGCCAAGCTGATTTAGGAGCCTCAGACTTAGGGTCCAAAGTCACTCAGGCTTGGTCTACACTTCAAAGTGTTACCAGCATATCTATGTCAATTCGGAGTGTGAAAAAACCACACCCATGACATTGCCATGCTAGGAAAAGCCCCAGTATAGATGCAGTAATACTGGCAAGCAAGTTCTTTCGCTTATTTCATTCAGGGAACTGGTGTAAATTGACTTGGCAGAATTCTGTTATCTAATCAGAATTCTTTTATCTGTCTTTCTATCTATCATTTCAACAGATAACATCAATGCTTATTTTTAAGTGTTTTCTTTATTTTGTATCCATTTAAATTCTCACAGTTGTGCAAAATGATGGGTTTTAAGGTTTTGTTGTGTCGATTTTCAGTGTTCACAATTGCAGAAAATTATAATGATTTAATGACTGTAGATGTTGATTTCAAAAAGTTGCCGCTTTAGAACTGTCAAAAGGCGAGTTGTCAACATGCCCTGTCAAAATGTCCAAAGCAAATAACCTTAAACCAAAATCTACAAAGTTTTCCAGCAACATTCTTCTTACTTTGCCTCACTGTCGTTTTTGGTTGTTGTCGATGGAAATGTTTTGTTGTGTCCAAGGTGAAATCGACATTCACTGACAAGAATCGAATCCTTCCAAGTTTAAATATAAAGGAAGCCGGCGAAAGCATTCTTTAGCTGGTATATGCTGCATCTCCACTAGCTGGTATATAGCTATGCTGGCCAATCCTTTCTAGGGCAGAGATCACCACCTATTTCTATGCTGTTAGGGCAGCCCTCATCCTAGGGTATGTGTCTACATTGCAGCTGGTGTAGACATACCTAAGTGGGCTTTGGTCTTGCTGGCTCGGGTACCAGGAGTAGCAATGCTGTGGCAGCACAGACTGCAGTGAGGACTGGCCAGCTAAGTAATTACGTGGGTTAGGCTAAGCGGTTGCTGCCGCAGCTAGCTAAATCAAAGCTAGCTCAGGTGTGTCTACATCTTACAGCCATACCCCCCCTAGTGTGGACGCACCCTCTGTGTCTGTGCGCTGCAGGGCCGGGGAGAGAGCATCTGAAAGGGCTGGATCTGCTGCCGGTTATTCCCGTTGTGCATCGTGAGCCGATCCCGCCTCTCCGTGTTCAGGCACAGAATCCCCGCTCCAGCGAGTGCAGTTGCTTGGTCTGTGATTTCTTGCAGCAATTGGCCAGCTTCATGCACCCTCTCTACCACCTGCTCGTCCTCTTGGGTACATCTACACAGGGATAAAAAACCAGCTGGCCCAGGTCAGCTGAAAAATTGCTATGTAGACATTCAGACTCAGGCTCCAGCTGGATTGTCTATACATAGGGTGACCAGACAGCAAATGTGAACAATGGGGTCAGGGGGTGGGGGGTAATAGGAGCCTATATAAGAAAAAGACCCAAAAAACTGGACTGTCCCTATAAAATCGGGACATCTGGTCACCCTATCTATACGGCAATTTTTAGCCCCACAGCCTGAGTCCTGTGAGCCCAGGTCAGCTGACCCGGGCCAGTCGCGGCCATGCTGCGGGCCTTTTATCCCTGCGTAAACATACCCAGATCCCTGCTATTTGTGCAGGTGCTGTGTTTCTGCAAATACCAAAGGATCATTTGACCTGTCCTTAAAATGGACAAGGTTGGTCTGTGAGGCAGCCACATTTTTGGCAGTGAGATAGAAAAATGGCATGAAAAAGAGGAGATTATGGGATGGAACAGAGGGATTGGTGGAAATGGTGTCCCAGTCCCACAATATATGGCAGCCACACCGCAATATATTGCAAAATGCCCCACAAAACAATGCACCAGATGGCAGTGCAGGGGATTCGGGGATGCCTCCTAGACTTGATTAGAGGACAGAGTTTCTGTCCTGTGAAAAATTTTGACATTTTTGAAAAAAAAAAAAAAAAAAGTCGCGCTCAAAGTTTGTGTGAAGCAGAATCCCCCCAAAATAATTTGTGTCGGGTCAATAGAAATGCTTCGTTTTCACCCTTTTTTCATTTTTCAAATAAATAAAAAAAAAATTTTTTTAAAGAAAGTCATTTTGAAATGAGAAATTACCCCCCCAAAAAATCCTCCCAAATTGGGACAAGTGCCAAAAATTTTGAACTTTTTCACAAAGCCAAATTCTGACAAATGATTTGTCTTGCGTCAGTTTCATTTTATTTATTTATTTTTTAAAACATAAACTAATGCAACTTTCAAAACAAAACATTCGTTTTGAGAGAAAAAATCAAAACGTCTCCTTCCTAATAGAGCCAATATTTGTTCAGATGAGCAGTTCGGAAAAATTCTCGAGGTTTTGACTTTTTTGTTCTGATCCCTAAAAGGCTCATGGGATGGGAAACCTTCTTTCCATCCAGACTGACCTCTGACCTTTGGAGCAGAATTGCACCCCTTAAAGAGAAAGCCCTGAGCAATACCGCCTGGCTTTGCGTCAGTTCTTTGTGTAAAACACACTTTATTCCACAAAAAGTGCTACGTTGTTGTGACCACTCTTGGACACTTGTTTAATAAAATGAGCGTTAGTCCAGTGGCTGGCCACAGAAGCTAGTTGTACTGATGTGTCTCCCCAGATGGCAATGAGGCCTTAAGGTCTCAGCTACAAGCGGCTGCTTGAT